AACCTATAGCAATATTTTATTAAGAGCATATTAGATACACCCGAACGACTAAGTGAATTTCTTCCAAGAATGAATAAAAGTTATTCTATGAGTACACAGTAGCATGATCACCTTGTAAGTGTCTTGTCTCAGGTAGCCTGGTTCCCTTTATATTTTTTTGGAAAATTTATCAAATTGCTGAGTGCTTACGACGATAAATAAAATTTCAAAACTAAGTTCATTTCCAAAGTATGCAGTTCAATGTGAAAATCCTTCGGAAACTAAAAATAGTCAGATCATAATACATGATCTGCTTGACACTATAAATAGCTATCAAGGGAATCTTTTTGAATGTATTACTTTTGATAGGTGGTCAGACATCAAAAAACATCCATCAACTTTAACGGATGACACCGTAAAAATATAAAAGAACACAGCAATCTCAACAATAATCGTCGACCTTTATTTTTTTTTTTTTAAACTATTAGTCTGTATAGTGTCATTTGAAAAATGTGACCACTCGAATTGCAAATTTCATTGATTGTATCACCACCAGTTAGCCAGAATTCGACAAGGGTTTCAAATGAAACGGATCTCTTAGCTGAAGTTTAAACCGGCTCCACCTGTGGTGCGTAGAATCCCAAACAACTATCTGCTGTTCAGATCACCTCAAGCTGACCGGCAAGTACTACTGTTTGACGTGAGTGTTCTCCGACTACTCATAGTAATCAGTAGTATATACACCGAAATATTGACCACACCAACCAGTCAACTTTTGATCATGTACCGAGACTGGATTCTCACGATTGTATCTGTTGCCTAAAAGTTGCGAATTAAAAAGTACTACATTGTATATCAAACTGTTTGTTAATTAGTTTAAACAAATGCGTTTCATCTTTTAGTGTTTTGTTGTTCAGGTGACACAAACTCGTAATAGAGCAGCAGCTGTATTACACATACTGGTATATGATTGCTGAAATACACTACCTTCCACTAAATTCAGAACTATCTGTCTCCGATATAACTGTAACTACTTAGAGTCGTAACGCTGTTCGAAAATAAACTTCTTTTGATGATATGTGTAACACGCCTCCATCACTGCAAACCAGTGTATACATTTTACAATCCCTAGTCAGTTCATAAAACAAATGACCTCCTAAGATAAACGATCCTCGAACTATTTGCACCATCTCGCCAAATCATGTGACTTTTCTATGTGACATCTGTACGTGTGTGGCCTTTATCGGTTCCAAGAGAATGTGGGACAAATGATCAATTACGAAGAATGACAACCTGAAATAATCATACACTTCTGCGCAACATTTTGCATCAGTTTCTCTGACAAGCTTACCAATCTTTGTCTAATGACGTAAAAAGTAGACAGTAAAGACTACCTCAATTTTCTTAAAACACAATTAGTTATTAGGAAGGCATAAGTCAGCAAAGCGACCTCTTTTCGTGACTTCACTTCAAAGCTGCTATTCACGGGATTAATATATGCAATGTCAATTGACGACAGACGTTATATGAGTAATAACAAGGCGTGAAAAATAGTGGATAACCTTACGTAATCGAAAGGGTTAACAACTAATCAAATCCCTACAAACAAATTCTTGAGAATTAGTCTGAGGCTCGACAGTGACTAGCTGCAGGATAAAGTTGTCCAGATTCCTAGTGATAAATCGTAACCAGTAGGATCCACTCGGTCGGGAGTAACGACAAATACTCGGCGATGATAGTGGCTGGTGTTCGCGCTAAAATCACGAATTGGTAAGAGTTAGAATTCATGGGCTACTGATTTGGGTCCCGGTAACCAGCTTGCCTTGTAACCGGAAAGTCGTGGGTTCGATACCCGGTGTGTGCGTGCTGCCGATGGGCCCCAAACTAGGAGGAAACAGCTGTTCAGTACTCCCTGGTTTTCAATGGCACTCTAAGTGATGTCAGACTTGAAATTTGTTAAGTAATGAATAATCATTCGAAAATAATAGACAGAAGACGAGAAAACAAAGGTCTGTTTTCGACATAGAACTTTGCACACATGTGCAGCAGTTCATGTCGCCACACTCTATGAAGCACACAAAGCAAGAGAAGAAAGTAGGAGAAATGCATATTAGAGACAGTAAACAGAGGTATAGTAATAACGAAGAACAAAAAAGTTTAATTGGAAATCATAAGTCACAAGGAGTGGATGCATCTGCGCTATTGAGAACGATTTTGAGCCAACAAAACAAAGGAGTGAAAATGGGTTACAATAACTAAAACGGACTACATTAGTTTATTATAGGACACCTATCGATTATTAACAAGTGACTACTCCACTTAATGATATATATATATATATATATTCCTTTCAATCTCAGGGAAGTGGAGACAGAGCCTATTGGACACAAGATCAAGGAGAGGAGCAGATGTGGGTTCAGGCCACTATCTAGCACAAGGGACTTTCAAGGTGAAGAGAAAAGCCTCGAGGATACCTGGGGATAGGCCACAATGCAAGTTCAACACTCAAAAACTGAAGGACACAACCACAAAGGACACTTTCACTGCAACTGTCGAAGCAAAGCAGGAAACACTACGTGACATCACTGAGGAATCATCCGTGGAAGACCATTGGAACTCTCTGAAGGTGATTTTCAACTAAACGCGTTCAACGGTTTTAGAAAGAAAGAAGAGACAAGACAAGGAATGGCTCTCAACGGACATTTGGAAGCTAATAGAGGAGAGGAGAATGGTGAAAGAGAAATTGATTCAATGCAAAGACGGACAAGAGAAGGAGACGCTGAGTTCAGCTTACACAGCACTGGACAAAGAAGAGTGCTAGGAAGGACAAAAGATAATTCCACGACAACCTGGCTACTGAAGCTGAGAAGGCAGCAGGCAAAAGGGACCTGAGGACACTATATCAGATAACCAAGTCTCTATCCGGGAAGAGATCAACACAAGTGAAACCCATAAAAGACAGCCAAGGGAACCTAATTACCGAGGAAGAAAAACAGATTAAGCAATGGGCGGACCACTTCAACCGACCACCACCTACAACCCGTCCAGAAATACCAACAACAGCACGTACACAACTGCAAGTTGACACCAACCCTCCAACGAAAGCTGAAGTCATGAATGCAATCAAGCTTCTTAAAGCTGGAAAAGCAGCTGGACCAGATGGAATACCCCCGGAAGCACTGAAAGCGGACCCAGAAACGACAGCAGATATGCTGACTCCATTATTGCAAAAGATCTGGAAAGAGGGAAAGGTGCCTACTGACTGGAGGAAAGGTTACCTTGTGAAACTACCAAAGAAGGGCGACATAGGACTCTGCAAGAACTGGCGAGGAATCATGCTCCTGTCGACGCCAAGTAAAATCCTGAGTCGCATCATCCTGGAGAGGATAAAGGACGCACTGGATACAGAACTCCGACCAGAACAAGCTGGATTCAGGAAAGGCAAATCATGTTCTGACCAAATTGCGACTCTACGCATCATCATCAAACAAAGCATGGAATGGCAATCAAACCTCTACCTCAACTTCATAGACTTTGAGAAGGCCTTCGACAGCGTTGACCACGAAGTAATTTGGAAACTACTCCCGTACTACGGCGTACCCCAAGTATTCATCAACCTTACTCAACAGCTGTATGACAAGGGATCCACAACGGGAAACTCAGCGACGCTTTTGGAGTAAACACAGGAATCAGACAAGGGTGCTTATTACCACCAATGATATTCCTAATTGTGGTGGACTGGATTATGCGTCAGACAGTGGGAAACGAGAAGACAGGAATATCCTGGACCGACGTGAACAACCTAGAAGACTTAGATTTCGCGTGTGGATGATTTATGTTTGATGTCACACAAAATCGAAGACTTACATGCAAAAAAACGACAAACTGGTCGAAGAAGCAGCAAAGACAGGACTGACTCCAGGCGAACATAGACAAGACGGAGGTTATGAAAATAACCAACAACAACAACAACAACAGCAACATCCAGTGCCAATCACCATCAACGGGAGGGATTTGAAAGAGGTTACTTCATTCACTTATCTAGGGAGCATTGTCTCAACTACAGGCAGGTGGATCGGACGAGGATGTCAAATCGAGAATCGGGAAGGCGAGAAACACACTCATCAACCTGAAACCAATCTGCGAATCTTCGTCAGTCAGCCTGCATCAACAACAAAATTCGGATTTTCAATACAAACGTCAAGTCAGTCAGTCAGTTCTTCTATACGGGTGGATCAGAAACTTGGTGGGTCACAAAGAATATTTCCAACAGCCTGTTGCAGATCTTTATCAACAACTGTCTTCGCTGGCTCTATACTGAAGATCAGATGGCCGGAAAGAATCACCAGCAAGAAACTATGGGGACGAACAAAACAAGAACCAGTCGCTCAACAAATATGCAGGAGAAAGTGGAGATGGATTGGACACTCTCTGAGGAGGCCGCTGGGTGACATGGCGTGTCAGGCCAACGCTCGAGTAGAACCCGAAAGGGAAGCGGCGAGTGGGACGTCCCAGGGTGACATGGAGGAGATCGTGTGAAGAGGAGTTGAAACAGTATGAACTAACATGGATGCGAGTGAAAAATACAGCAGAAGACAGAAGCAAGTGGAGGCGTGAAGTTGAAGCCCTATGTTCCACTAGGAACCCAAGGGAACAATAATAGTATATATATTCCTAAATAACTGCACAGCTTTGAAGTGAAGTTACAAAAAAAGATTTCTTTGTCGGCTTGTGTGATCTTAACTATATGACAAATGAAATATTACTAGGGGAAAACTTACTACACTATGTGCGGGGTGAAGGTGTACAACGACTTCACAAAATCAAAATACAATTTGTCGGAGAAAAATTATTTATATATATAGATAAAAATTATGGTTGTATAATAAATAAAGTAGCTTAACAATTACATATTACTAATCAGTACATACAATATATTATTTATAGGAAGGGTAGAAATTAAAATAATGCCAACTTAAAGTTAAAGTTATATATTTACATTTATTACAATGATATCTTCTCACCGTCGAACTGAGATATAGCAAAGGCCAATTTGTGTTTCTATACAGAAAAAAAAGAGAAATTCAAAGGAAAAGCAATGAATTCTTGGAAAATAAAACAACTTTATAGACAAGTGACCCGATGACTAATCCTTATCTTTCTCTCTGCCCTACACACGCTTCTTCTGTTTTGTATTAAAAGGCGTGCATAAACATTTATAAGTACTTCCTTCATATCACACTTAAGCGGCCATACAAAGTGCGTTAGTTCATACGATTGAACATTCAGCTAAAAAGATGGAACACTAAAACAACCCACCTACAGAAAGCCAACATGCAACGGACAACTAATAAACTCCAATAGTTGAGTGCCTCTATGTACATAGCGAAACCTTAACTGTTCACTGTGCCAAAATTTGCTGCCTTTCCACTGTGGAAGAGGAGCCGAACACTCTGAAAACATTCTCCTTGAAAATGGTTGACCAGAAGGTTTCATCACAAAATCCATGAAGCCTAAATGAATGAAACCTCCCACACTTACTCCCCTACCTGAATCTATAATTCAATAGAGACTCATAGGCAGAAATAATGAGAAACCGTCTATTCCACTCATTAAAGAAAACTATCTTAGTGGCAGAACTTTCACCAGCCTTTCCATATTAGTTTTTTTTATTAGATGTATCACACATTGAAACAGTATTATTTACTGGATGACATTTCGGACAAAATTTATTGTTCATAATCATATCAATTATAATCACACTTTGACTAGCCTTCGCTACAAAACCAATGATCCTCATGAACGTGAAGGATAAGCTATAACTCCTGGTCTCATCGATATGTGTCTATCAAAGCAATTGCTCCTGTAGGAGTAGATATGTTGGCCGCACTCAGCGTTCGCTATCTACACGTATCATCGAACACTCACCTTCATGGTTTCATAGAGGAGAAAAAAGATTCCTCCCCTCCCCAATGCTGTCCTGGAACACCCGATCGAATCTGGATATCAAGCTAACTTGCAAACCAACTTCAAAGTCATCTACAGAACACGCGGGAATCTTGCCAAAGGAGTATAAATCAGACTTCTACAAGCCGCAGAAGCGATGGCAATTTACATGTCAAATCCCGAGTTCTGTGCACAAGAAAAGTTTTTCAGTCACTAAACACCTACAATGGATCTAATCCGTCTTAACACCGGATTTGTTTTTTAATTGTATTACGTCCCCACCGACGAATTTCTACCCCTTATTATCACACTATGGATAACTTGACTCTCATTCAATTTTAGCTGAATTCTACCCAATCCCATCAACTATATTACGTCACTCAATTTACTTATTTAATCTTATTTCAATTTCTATCCGATTATCACTTTCTATACTACTTCGTTTGTTACATGAAATTTACAATTTAAATGACACATATTTGGAAATATGCCTTCTATTGCTGAGGGGATATATACATATGCAATCATACAGCTTGAGAATAATCACTGAAGAGAATACCTCTTCACTGACCGCCTTTTCTTTTATATGAAACTTTATTTTACTGAGTATGGTTCAACTGACAGCTGCAGCGAGACGCATGAATGACGAATTGTCACATCAAATCGCGAAGGTCCTTTTCAACTCTCAAACGTAGCTTGTTACAATGAAGGACAGTTAGATTTACTTGAAGTCACAATCTAGTAGACAAGACTGCATTTTATCACTACTCTGACAAAAACGACAACAACAACCACGAGATGGTAAATACCCAAACTAATATGACCACCCCCTACTGGTTGAAAATTTTAAACGTCTACACTAGAGAGAGTAAGTAAAATCTCTAAAACACAAACAATGCCTGTTTTAAAATTTTTAAACTCACTTTCACAGCTGCTAAAATAAACTCAATATCTGATTGAATATCTTTCTCAGGAATTTGATATATAAGTTTTGGAGTGGTTGGAGATAGGGTAACTGGTTTCCTTCGAGGTTCAAGATTTGGGCTAGGGAGATAAATATCAGATTGATCTGAAGATATTGAAGATTCTTTATCAACATCTGTAATACGCCAAAAAAAACCATAAATATATGCAGAGTATATCAGTGAATATCAGTTTATATAAAAAAAAATAATGTAAGCCTAAAATAAGTATGAATGATTAATATTTATTGTAAATGTTAAGCTTATGACTGATTATTTATAGTTTTTAGCAAGTAATATCTATATCGTATGTTACTGACAAGTATATGAATAGAGAGACTTTAAATATGCGTGTAACAACAGAAGACAAGGGAGCCAGACAACAAATCGTTTATTGAGGAAATCAAGAGGTTATTTATATATTTTTATGTATATTATTATTATTCGTAATTATTAACACAGAAACAGCGTCTTTTGATTGACTGTTTTTTCTCGCTGAAAGTTAATCTGTCATCACTTTGTGGCTGTTTCTTTGACGGTCACACCACCATACGCCTGCGAATCGTATCCGCCCACGCAAAGTCTTTGCTCTTGTTTTTTTCTCATGACCAAGATTTGGGACGTAAATTGCTGTCTACCAATTTTAGCTAGCAGCAGACAGCTCTTGCCACACACACACACACACCATCTGCAAGAATATCGAATCGCGGAGAGGTGGATGCTTGTGGAACAACATGGTGTAAACGTGACAGGAATACACAAACAAGCACAATATCAAAGATATATGCAAATTGTGAACCATACATGGTAGACATATTTAGCCTATGTTCTGTACACTGTGTTGCCAATAGATAATTCAGTTGCTGCATACTCTTGTCTTCTGCCGTATAATAAACTGAGACTGGTATTGTAATGGTAGAGGACGAAGACTTGGTAAAGGAGGTCACAAAAGCTATCTGTGATTTGAAACGAGGCAAAGCGGCAGGACCCGACGGAATTATTCCGGAGGTGTTTAAATATGGGGGTGACATACTAGTATGTAGTTTAACTAAGGTACTAGGTAACGTCTGGGAATCAGAGACGGTTCCATCAGACTGGGGTAAGTCACTTATTATACCAGTATTCAAGAAGTGAGACAAGTCCTCATGTGATAATCATAGGGGGATCAGCCTAACGAACATAGTCTCTAAAATCCTAGGCTCAGTAATCATGCACAGACTAAGCCGAACCCGGGAGGAACAAACGAGGGAAAATCAAGCGGGCTTTAGGCCAGGTAGAGGGTGCATAGATCATATATTCACTCTCCCACAGATCCTAGAACATAGACACACTTTTCGGCGTCCAACAATTGCCATATTTCTTGACCTGAAGGTGGCCTTCGACTTCGTGGATCGAAAGGTACTATGGCAATGTTTGAATGTGAAGGGAGTGCCAAGAAAGTGCATTGCACTAATCAAGGCACTCTACTCATCTGAATTAATAAAAACCAGTGGTGTCAGTCAGGGTTGTCCACTTTCCCCATTTCTGTTCAACTTCATCATAGATATGCTAATGGAAGTATCCTTAACTGAACTTAACGACTTAGGAATCGACTTGTTACCAGGGAATAGTCTTATAGACTTAGAATACGCAGACGACATAGTCCTGTTAGGGGAGGACGCTGACAAAATGCAGAGTCTTCTGAACACCTTGAGCAGCAATCTACGTATGTTTGGCATGCGATTCGCCCCTGTAAAATGTAAGATGCTGTTACAGGAATGACTGGACTACGTCAACTCCTAGCTTAGTGATAGGGAGTGAAGTGATAGAACATGTTGACCACTTCACCTATTTGGGAAGTTGTATCAGCACCAACGGATTGATTGGTGACGAAATCTCGGCACGGATCCAAAAAGCTCGGGCTGCTTTCGCTAACTTATACCGTCTCTGGCGTAGGCGTGACATCCGGCTAACAACCAAGGAACGCGTTTACCGTTCAGTAGTTCGCTCCATCCTTCTCTATGGCTCTGAGACATGGCCAATACGAGTTGAAGACATGAAAAGGTTGACTGTTTTTGATCATCGATGTCGAGGTGGTATAATAAGGTAAGTAATGTTGACGTTAGGCGTAGAGTGTTGGGCAAAGAGGGAAAATCAATCGACGAGGCTATAAAGTTATATAGATTGAGATGGCTAGGCCACGTGCTGCGCATACCTAACCATCGCCTCCCCCGATGGGCATTACTAGCTTATATAGGTGCAGATTGGAAAAGAGTAAGCGGTGGCCAAACAAAAACATGGCATCAATCAATCCATGAAATCCTTGACAGTTAAACTGAGTCAGGTAGCGACGCACTCCTTTACCTCGCTAAGCCAGTAATAAGACTGGTAAAGAGGGAAGGTTGGACATGAGGCTAGCAGCCTCATCCCGCAAAAATAAGCACCACTGCTACTGAAACTTCAAGCCTCCAGCTTGAAACCCTATGTTCTACTGGGAACGTACAGGAATAAAAAATATATCTCCAACGCACGATTTGCACAGCTCTTCCGTGATGTGCTATTTCTAGCCTTCATATCGTGTTTCTTTGTGGTCCTTTCACGTTTCTCCGCAACGCTGAATCATTTGCTTTCTCTGACGTCAAACCTATTTCCCTGCTATGTGATATTTTTACGCTGATGAACGTCTCTTTACATACTACTGATAAATCTTACCAGTAGCACATACTACAGTATGTCTTAGCCAAGAGTGGAATAACTGACTGATTAACTGGTTTCAATGTAGAACTTTGCACAGGTTTTCAGCAGTTCAAGTTGCCACACTTCATGTAGCACACAAACCAAGAGAAGAGAGTAAAGAGCGATAGTAAACAACAGTTTGAGGGGAAAAGAATAGTAATATAGAAAAACAATAGAATTTTATTGCATGGAGGATTTCATCATGAGCTGACATCAGTTAGAGAACCACTGGAAAACCTGGGAGTACTGGATAATTGTTTCGTCCTAGTTTGGGACTCTTCATCAGTACGTACCCACCGGGATTCGAACCCAGAACCTTCTGGCTACAAGGCGAGCTCGTAGGCCATTGAGCCACTGGGACCCGATCCAATGGTCCTTGAATTCTAACTTCTGCCAATTCACGACATAGCGCGACCATTTCGCCATGTCTTCTTCGCAATGCCTCATCTTCAATCTTCTGTACCCTACTGGGGACCAGTGGGTGCGTACTAATGAAGAGTCCCAAACTAGGACGAAACAGCTGTCCAGTACTCCGAGGTTTTTCAGTGGTTCTCTAACTGATGTCAGCTCATGATGAAATCCTCCATGCAATCAAACAAAATCCCTACAAAACCAATACTTGAGAATTTTATAGGATGTCACAAAGAGTGGATGCATCTGCGCCACTGAGGACGATTTTGAGTGGAATAACTACGACTCCATTAATGAAACTGAGTAAGAATTAGTTAATACACACCTCATGTTCATTAAGGATAAAACCTAGATATTGTATACTACTACTACTACTAATCCCAATTTGCTAATTACAAAGTCCATATTCACTGAGGGTAAACATATTTAGATTTTCTTCCTCTTGAACATTTCCGTTTATTGTACTTTAGTTGGATTTCTTTTCTCCACCCTGATGAAGTGTGACAAGTTGGACTGTTGCCCCTAAATTCTTTTGAACACAGTTCCTAGAAAAGATCTTTTATGTTCCAGGCCAAGAGCCATACATTCTTATTGTGTGAACGCTGGGTGATACTAAAGAGTTATGCAAACTGAGGTAGGTGGAGCGGGGTTCGAACCTGAAACCCACTGAATGAAAGCCAGGAATTTCAGCCAGTGAGTCACTTAGCTACACCTAAATGCAAAGTTCTACTCTCTGAAGCAACTGCAGCATGCAAAGAGATGTGAATCATGATACAGTAAAGCTAACAAGCAAATATGAATATACGTGGGGGGGGGGGGGAAGAAACTGGCACCTGAATGAATAACTACTTTACACTATGTCAGCGATAGTCTACAACTACTGATCCAATAAATTCAAGTGAACAAAACTCAATAAAACTTCAGTTGATTTCACTAGATGAGGAAAGCGTTGATTTGGCATAAGCAGTAAATTTTTTAGCTGTTTTAATTTTAACTATAAATACATTTTTGTACTTACTTTTAGGAGTTTTATATCCACGAACAATACGCTCATATTGAAGTTTACAGATACTCTCTTGAAGACGTACACGAATCTGTTCTTCAGCTGCTAGAAGTCGCTCCTTGGCATCACATTCAACAAGTAGTAATTCGTTGTCCACCTCTTTATTGACTACTTCTACAGCGAATCGCATTCTGTATTTTGCCACCTTCAAAAAAATAAAACAAATAAGGACTAGGCTTTCTATTGAGAGACAATACAGAAAGTCACTAAATCACAAAGTAAAGTAAAAACTCACTTTTGATGGGGTACACACAGAATGAGTCACGGGTTTATTTGGATTACCACTTCTGAATAGTGTTTGTTGTTGATCACAAAAACACACATACACAGACGACTAAGTGGCCCAAAGCGCTGCCGCTCGTGACTCCAAAGTCGGCGAACATTCTGAAGTGTTGTTTTGTATTCTGTATACACAATAAAACAAACTTCAGGCATAATTGAAAAGTAATAGAATCAAAATCATTACTTTTTGTTGCATATTTCACAAACAACCTATATTAAACTATACACAATTTCCCTTAAACTAAATTAATGGGGCGTCTCTACCATCATTATTTTTGGGCGCACATCTCCTTTCCCCCCAATTCATATTGACAAGCTTGCATAGCAGTCAAGTTTAAAATCATACGATGCTTTTTGAAATTCAAATATCTTAGTACAGTACCATATCTCTGACGAAATCTCAGCACGGATACAGAGGGCTAGTTTCGCATATGCCAGTTTACGCCGTCTCTGGTGTAGACGTGATATCCGACTATCGACCAAGGAGCGTGTGTACTGCTCATCAGTCCGCTCCGTCCTCCTTTATGGCTGTGAGACCTGGCCATTGAGAGCAGAAGACATGAAAAGATTAGCTGTGTTCGATCATAGGTGTCTGCGTTCTATCTCTCGTGTGAAGTGGTATAATAAGGTGAGCAATACTGAGGTTAAGCGTCGAGTGCTAGGTAGGTGGGAGGGGAAATCAATCGACGAGGCTGTGAAGTAGCTACATAGACTGAGATGGTTAGGACATGTGTTACGTATGCCTAGTCATCGCCTTCCTCGACAATGGGCAATGTTAGTTGATATAGGGTCAGGCTGGAAAAGAGCTAGCGGCGGTCAAAGCAAAACATGGCACCAGTCAATGAAATCTACAACAGTTAGTTTAAGCCAAGTAGGATGGTGTAGACTTCCTGACTGGTTGGGGTCCTCGGGACGGTAAAAACCAATGGTTGGAAACAATTGGTGACATGGCTCAAAATCGTTCTCAAGGGCTGGCTTGCGCAGATGCATCCACTCCTTGTGACTCATGATTTCCAATGAAACTGTTTTGTTCTTCGTTATTACTATTCCTTTGTCTCACACCTCTGTTTACTATCTCTAATGTGCATTTTTCTTCTACTTTTTTCTCTTGCTTTGTGTGCTACATGGAGTGTGGCGACTTGAACTGCCGCACATATGTGCAAAGTTCTATGCCGAAAACAGACAGACCTTCTAGTCATATTACTGTGACTAGGCCGTCTTTTGAACTAGTCAAAGGAATCTAAATGTGAGTTCTTTATAGATCTCTTTATTAGATAGATTATTATCTTGTAAATATATGTACCTGTTTGTTTTTACTTTCTCAAGAACCAGTAACTAACTTGGAGTCTAACTTGGTGTAATCAACCAATATATGGTTGCTAGTTTCTTTGTTGGTCATTTGAAAACAGGAGATGGTACTAATAACAATTCAAAGCGTGTTCAGTATTCAAACAAATGCGCAAAAATACCCGGTACACACCTGAACAACTTTCTGAGGCCTAAATTAAAACTGTTTGTTAGAAAGCTGAAGGCAGCGAGCCTAAACAATCCGGATTGCTGCAGCATATTTGAGCCAGAAATTGCATTGTAGGATAGATTTGTGAAAAAAAAATACATACACTTGCTCAAAAGACCATATACAGGTAATCGACTCAAACATAAAGGGTTTTGTTTTCGTTGACTGAGACCCACTTACTTATAGCCGTCTGAAAGTATTCATTATGACTTCTTTGGCAGGTAGTAAAAATAAATGGCTAAAATAAAGGCCCTTAGGTAAGTGGAGCTACGCTTTTCGTTGGCTATATTAGAGTGGGTTCAATAAATGTGAGTGTGACACTAAATATAATGGAGTAACAAACTAAGGTATACTCTCTAGACACAAACAGGTAAAAATTGGAGACTTACTGGTGCAAGAAACACTGTTAATATGCATGTGGTCTTAAAATCTATCTAGACCGAGGACTACTATTGAACACAAAAAGCCATATTCGTAATAGCTTAACAAGGTATACAGAATGAAACAGTTGTCTCTTGAAATTCTAGCTTACTAGAAAGCTTGGTTGAATAGCAATAAGACTAACAGCAGCGGGTCAAATAATGTAATTTGCTTACATTATGGCAGAGAATGGAACTGAGAGCATGCTAATATTGCCAGTGGCAAGCGTGTAACAACAGTGAGGTAGTCAAGCGAGGACACAGCACACTAGGCCGAGAAGTTCTTGACTGTTGGTTTGAGTTGTCTACAGAAGCATAGACTGTTTGAATAGTATCTTCGCGATGCCAAAATCAGTGCCTGAAAAGTACTGATGACACAGTTCTCAAAAGTACAGAAGATGTGTTCACTCCTTTCTATTATTCATATCCTAAAACTGCTGACCAGTGTTTACTCAACCACATTTTTTACAGTACATCTTCGTCCATTGCAGTTTCATAATATTTGTTCATTTTACAATTATGTATGCTTATTTGAAGTGCAGCAACTTGAACTGATGCATTTTTGTGCAAAATGTTCGGTGTTAATAAGTCAGTGAGTTGATTACCTTTCCTTAATGGACTAACAAAAGCAATCTTATTGTGAGTTTTCGTAGGCTGAATAATCACTGAAAAGCTGAGAAGTTAATATATAACTGATCTGTTCTCAGGGGATCATCAGCGAACACAGAAGTGTCCATTATTCCTCGATTATTATCCCTTTCTAATGATGAGTATCCACCTGATTCAAGATATTAACGTTAATGAACAGTTTAAAAGAAACATCCACTAAAATAAAAAAATGGTATACCTGTGATCTAATCTTATACGATTCTTCGACCAAAGATACAACATGAAGAAATTCTGGTGCAGTACCCGATTTGGCTTGAGATAATTTGTTCTCTGCTTGCATTAATCTTTCATTGTATAATAACTCTTTGACTTGTTTAAATTCCCATTCCAACTCTGAAATCTCTGATTGCAATTCCCTTTTCAGAGATTCAACCTCTACATCTGTGAGCTCATCTCCAACACCTTCATTTCGAAAATCAGACTCCTGGAAATCTTCTTCATTAGAACGATCTTCATCTACTTGACAATAATCATTTAATTCTAAATTTTACAAACCTTCATCAGCCATAGCTGAATAACAGTGACTTGATAGATCTGATTTATAATTGAGAATTATTATAAAAAATTATAAAACATATGATGATAGCCAAGTCTATGTAGTTTGACAGTTGTGCTTTATGATGTTAGGCAGTAAGGTTATGATTCTCTTGAACTATAATTCATTGGCCAAATATTCTGATTGCTAACGAAGAATTCAAAAGAAAACAATGTTAGTTAGGCATGAATTTTATAAAATATTTCGATTATTTCCAGGATAATTATGTATGAATAATTGATTGAAATAAAGAAGTCACATCTCTCACCTATCTATGTATCATGCTTTTAACTACAGGCGGCACGAATTACGATGTCAAGTCCAGGCCAAAATGGGAAAAGCAAGACAGACTTTCACTAACCTGAAATCAATATAGAAACCTGTTGCACTCATCATAAAGAAAAAGATTCAGATCTTCGATACTAATGCCAAGTCAGTGCTTCTTTATGGTCCAGAGAATACCAGCATGAGACACCAAAAGCATTTTCAACAAGCTTCAGACATTTATCGACAGGTGCCTTCGCTCCATACTGAAGATAAGATAGCTGTTGGAAACGAATAGCAACAGGGATCTCTGGGCATGAACCAAGTAAGAACCTATTGCCTAAGATATATGCCGGAGAAAAAGGCGATGGATCGGAAACACGGTGAGAAAACCATCGAGAGACATCATGGGCCAAGTTCTCAATAGAAACTGAACAAAAAACGACGACTTGGGCGTATGCCTGAGGATGACATGGTTGAGGTCATGCAATGAAATGAAAGTTTACGGGCAATCGTCGAGCCGTCTTAAAAGTGCTGCAGAGAGCAAGCAGGATGAAATGGAAATGTGCTATTGAAGCCATATTTTCCAATCAAAACCCAGAGGAATAATAATCATGAAAGGTCCTACTATGAAAGAAAGTGTTTCTTGTTCTTCCGATCTAAAAACATATGTATTAGTACAGTGTGGACTGATTATATAAATGGTATGTGCTAAAAGGGAAAAATCGCTCGTTTTCTCTGGCCAAATGAGCGACCTAAACACAGAATTAAATCAAGTACTTACAATGTACGCAGTTCAACATAAATTTTGATTGTAGTTCCCTTTTGCATTTATATCGATTCAAACTGGCTGATAAACTGCCGATTTGTGTGGGTGATAGCCAGCTTTCCATACCACTCAACAATATATCACAGCTTCCAAATCCACATAAGAAATCATAGCACATCACGATTCTGACAGTGCAATTCGACGGAAACACATACGCAAGACTGTCAACTTTTACCTCGAAACTGCCCCCACTTTCTTTACCATAACTTATTGCTATATCTACATGCCTAGGGAAACAAGGATTACTTAATTACTGCAAACTAGATGCGTAAAAGTATACAATTTCATTACCTTAACTGATGTCACATGCTTACAGTTTAGTTTTAAATGAGCGTCTTCCAACTTTCTGGACCCTAAGGTTTTCGTTAGTGAGTTCAACTGACATCTCTGCGTCTCAGACTGACGGTGGATGACTTCATGGAGTGATGCAATGTTTAGTTTTGGCTGCCACTAACTCTCTTACATCTACTACTATGTCAAAACTGCCCGTTGAAAATGTGATAGTTCGGCGTGCATATCACAAATCTAAATCAATTAAATAGATTGAACTTTCCATTTTAACCACCGACTTATACTGACTACCAAAGATTGTATGGTTGGTTGAATTATTGTTTAATATGTTACTCTACCTAACGCCAGGAAGAAATCAATGGAATCTATGACGGGAACTTTATCTTCTTATAACCATTCTTAATGAACATCTTCCAGCTGAACAACAAGGTCGTCACATTTTCTTTAGTACAAATTAAAATCAGCTGTCGCTAAATAGTTAATTAATGGTTTCTAGAACACCTGGGATATTCATGGACTACTGTGGCGTAAACACAACTGCTGGAACGCACTTATCAGCCTTCGCACTTAAAAGGTGCAGTGCAATTGGAAACTAGGCTATTCAAGGAATTCATATATAACAGATGAAATTCGAAATGTATTTAGCTCAAAACGCAACGGTACAACCCAAAGTACAATTTTTTACATGAATCTTAAGAGCAAGACGTTCAATAGAATCCCCAACCTGATTACTGACACAAATCAATAGGAACAAAAAATTGCGGAAGCAATAACAGACCACTTCTCTACAGTGTTTTATATGAGCAGGCACCACCCGTTGCATCAGCTCCAGCTGTTCTAGAAGAAGATGGGTTAGGTTGGGTCAAAACTAACCCAAACATTGTACCGTCATCCCTAAGCAGAACAGACACAGAAATTAATGAACGCGGTGAATTTCCCTCGATTTTTCTAAAATGACTGGCAGCTCACATAGCTGACCCAGCGAGTACTACCTTCAGGCTATACCTTTTAGACGAAGTGACATGGGTGCAACCGGAAGAATGCAACAGAAGCCCTCATACATAAGGGAGGATCCAGGTACCAGTCTTACCAGCACCTTGATCAGGATGCTGAAAGAAATCAAGAAAGCATATTCGGAAAGCAACTTCTAATACATCATGATTTTCTGTGATTACACAAAAGTCAGCAAAGATTTCAACAAGACACCGCATACAATAATGGTTACAAAATTGGAAAGCTTTTGAATGATGAGAGATTTGTACAACTGAATCAAGGAATTCCACGGATATAAAAGACAGCATCGGGGTTAACTCGAATATCTCTAACCGGACGACGGTAAGTAGTAGTGTGCTACAAGGTCCTGCGCTTAGGATCCTATTTATTCTGTATGTCAACGAATCACCTGGCTCCAACAAGTCTGTTCTGGTTTTCTAAAGAGATGACCTAAAATTTGGAGACATCTGAGATTACAGAGACAGGCATCGCAAGAGGACCTCAACAGATCTTTAGATTGGTCCAAAGAATGGACATTTTCCATCACCCTAACGAAGTGCGCATCTATACGCACAGTGAATACAACTGAGGGGAATACCGTTCATATCAATTCAGATACACATGGATCTAAGTGTCATACTACATCATGGCCTAAAAACTAAGCCACTGTCGCGCGACGGAATCTTGCAGTTTTAGATCTCCATGGCAATAAGCCTCGCCTTTACTAGAATCAACGGTGAAATGTTCACTTTATATACATCTCCGGTGTGGTCAAAACTTGAAAACTACTTCCGAGTAGCTAAACCACTGTTTCAAAAGACATATATTCTGATATGACCAATATATCACATGCGTATAGGGTCAGCAGTTTAAATCTGTTCTTCTTATAATGTAGTCAGAGATCTCATTACAATGTTCAAAACTACAATATATAATTATGGACCTGACTTTCTCTCTCTTTGCCTTTCCACGGTACCGAAACATTTAGAAGAATGTGGTGGCAGAGTTCAAACACGGGGAAGAAACTATGGCTAAGAAATACTGGTTCTCCCTTGATACTAAATATTGGAACCGACTGGCAGGTGTGGTATGATCTCGGCAAAACATTACTCAGACAGCAAAAACTACTAACACACTGTTATTTTCCAGCCAAAAAGTTAAGTATATAACATTCTGATATATGCTTTCAGTAGTGCTCCCTGTGTGTACTAGTAGACGAAAATTATTATACCCCAACAGTTTTGAAAATACATAACACTATTTTAAAAATATATCTTGAAGAAAAAGTGGAAAATAATATCGCCAGGAGAAACAACATACCTCAACATCACAGAGTGTCGCCAGCTCTGAACAGCGCACGTTAATCAATATAACCTTAAACGAACAATCGTTGGAATGAAATTAAGCATCACGTACAAGGTCATTGATGGAGTGAGACGCTCAAAGGTCATTTTCGTCCATGTTAGTCGGCCATGTTGGATTGCAGTTCCGTAGCTGTTAGTTTACACATTGGTTTTTCCGTTTATCCAGCAGTTATTCACAACCTATCTTGATGCACACCGTTTACAAATGTTGCGTTTCACTTCATTATTGTTTCCGTTTCTGTTAGAATTAGTTATTTCGTTTGTTTCGAAAGTTTTTACCAGCAGGTCAGTGCATTCATTTCATTGCAGTTGTTTCATACGTTGCATTCATGCATGGTTTCAGGGTTTTAGTTGTTTTTCCACTATTAATGAATTCGTACTGTGTAGAAGTTTTGGAAATTGTGCACATGAACATGTTTGGTTGGCGGAAGCAGTTGTTTCCAGTTCATTCGTTGGTTGCCGTTATTGTTGCTGGCTCAGTTGCTTACTTAATATGTAGAAATTTGGAAAAAGCAATGTCTGTCACATTCATGTTTACAGCATGCAGCAATCTACGAGTCAATCTGGTGGGGAAAATACGATCAGAGTTGATATTAGCAAAGTTTTCGAAGAGCAAATTAAACCTGGAGAATTTAGAACCTGGGATGATGTTGAAAAAGCTTTGAAGCTTTTTGAGAAGGTGAGCACAGTATCAGTGTGTCTATTATCAGTTAACAAACACCCGGTATATTGTGAGTGAATCCAAATTAAATAAGGATGAGCGACACGTGAAGTATGACTATGCGGTGTTTGTATGTACTTTTGGACACAAAAGGAAATCCGTAGGTAATCACATTCGCCTTAGAGGGTAAGTTTCCTGTGGTTGTTAAAGTCTTATGGAGTAGATCTAAATACAGTGGTTGCCCGTCAATGATACGCATCCGATATCATTGCAACGAATTCATTATACAATCTGTATATATGATTCATAATCACTATTGCACTCGTGAATATTTAATGAAGGATGCCAGAGCACGCAAATTAGATGAGTCTGAACTCTGTATAGTTAAGCCGATTCTGTCTGTTTCATCCGAACCTTAAAAGGTTATTGATTACGTGGCAGAACGATTCAAAAAAAGGATGACGTACAATGATCTACGAAATATAAGAGACCTGGTTTTTTTGTTAATGCGAAGACAATACTTCTGTATTTCCTGATGTGTTGCTCTCACTAACAATCTAGCAGATTTTTTTCCGACTGTGCACAGAAATGATTGTATATAAGTGAAAAGGCTGTTTTATACTACTGGGATTAACATTTATCAAGTATATGTATAATCTCCAGCGAACACGTAAAGCATATCTTGCTACTGCCTGTAAATTGTGATTGAATTATATGCTTCTATTTCTGTAACGATTTGATGATGCCTGTAAACTGGCGTCCCTCATGTACTGTACTTTGAGAATAAATTTATTTATTTATTTACTGATTTACAAGAATAACCTTTCAGATTATGATTTACGGTCAGTGGTTTCTTCTAGATTACATCAAGCTGGGAAATTGGTTGTAATTCGGGATGAAAACGATGGAAGAATAAAAATAGCTTGTTTTAGTTCAAATAGGCAAATCGAAATTTGCCACAAATTCCCTGAGGTCGTGGGTTTCGATTCCACCTACAACACTAGTAGAGGAAAGTAGGTGTAAATGTTTTCTACATCAAATATTTGAAGTTATAAACTGTTTCAATTTGTTGTTACAGACTTTCATGGAGAAGATCTACCGGTTATGTTTGCATGGAGTAGACAGGAAAGACTAGATGATGTAACGACGATCCTGGATAAATTTAAATGTATGATGGGTACGACTTCTAATACAGAAACGTTTGTCATGGATTGCGCAAAAGCATTGAGAGGTGCCGTTGAGACTATACGTGAGTGCAATTCTGTAGGAACACTATCCATCGATAAAAGTGGTGAATTATAAGTGCTTCATTCAAGTCCAAAAATCTGCCCAGAAGTACGCGATTACGTCTCCCAGTCATGATAAATCTGTAGGGACTAATGACAAAAATACCTAACTTCAGTATTTGAAAAATGAGAATAGAACTTAGGCCCTGCAGTTGAGTTCGATTTCGTATGAAGTTAAGTATAATCACAAGTAGTGTATTACTATTATTTCACTTAAAGCGTTATGTCAATCCATATGCCTACGGGTGTTAACATATAGTGTAAAATGAAGTCTACACGAGACGAGTAATTTAATAGGTTGGGCTGTAGCAATGTTAGTACGATTTCGCCTACGTTGAATTATGCCTACAATTACTTTCCCAGGTCTCATTGATAGGTCAGGCCTCCATCTCGTCATAATGACAAGTTTAGTTTCACTGGGATAGAATAAGAAAGTTAAGGTAAGCAGGATGTTAAATATATTTAATGAAAAATAATAAGCGAATGTCTTTACACAACTGCTTTTCGTAATTACTTCGGGGATGCGTAATTGCTGTGACCAGGTTGACTGACTTCACCGAACATCTGCAAGTAAGTGAATAACGTGTAATTTTTAAATCGTCGAAGTCAGAAATAAATAATGTGAAAGTGAAACGCTTTACATTTTCCTACCTTTTCTGAAAAAGATTCATTCTCCTTTCTCATTCTTTGGTCATGACAGCATTCTTCTGCGGTTTTCACTGTCACACACATTGTTCCTCTTCTAAAGTATAGCACCAAGCAAATAATAATTTAATATGTCGTATAAACGGGTGTTTACAAGGAATGCATGACATCTCTACAGGCACAATAAGTTAGGTTATGAATTGCAATCACCTGAGCGATTTTAACTAGAAACTTCATCGAAGTGGATATGATCATCAGGAAATTCAGCAGATTGTCTCATTCATCGCATGCTCTCTTCGATGTGTTATGGAATATTTCAATCATCACGGATGATGATAAAAAAGTGTTTGGCATCCTCTAAACGTATATTTAACTTGTGTCTGCGGGCTAGTTCTCCTTCAAATGTCTCGTTATCATAGAATAACTGCTATGAAAACAACCATTGCCTATAGTTAATTTTCAACCTTAATATCCCCAAAAAACTAGCAAATAACAAACCATTACGGCTCTAAAACGCAAATAATAGTCTTTCTATGCTAGATTTCTTATATACGATGAGTTCTTGAAGTAATACATCCTCTGGGATATCATGACAGTTTTATCCATTAATACGAACACAATCCGGGAAAATGTTGCTTTTTCCGCTATAGAAGCCTGGAACCAGTCATATATAATCTACTTTCACAAAAATAAACGCTCATAACGCCTCTATAGGCGTGAACACGATAACCCATACATTGCGCGATAATATATCACGATAACGTTTATCATCACTCTACTGATATCTGCACAATTTATTGAATAAAGGAGGCAATAATTTCGAAAAAATGGCCTTGACGCGTTTACGAATAGTGCGCTACATTTTCTTTGCTACATTCGCTGCACTGCAATCATGAGGAAAAGAGTGAGACATAAATCAACACTAGCGAAGAGACCATCGTTGAAAAACACTGGGACAACCTGAAAGAAGTGTGGAGTCAAAACTACATGGAAGTTCTAAGCAGAAAGAAGAGAGAGGACAAACAGTGGCTCACTACGGACACGTGGGGACTAAGAGAAGACAGAAGGCTGTTATGCCACCTCAATTTTAAATCGAATGAATGGAGGAAAGCTAGGGATCATTGGCTTCTGTTGGGATACCATGGGATTCATTACCTTAAGGTGTAATCGGACATATCACAAAAAAATTGAAGTTAGTGGCAATTTCTCTTCACTCTTCTATATAAAAAAGTAAACAGAATCGAATAAAGAAGTATGTTCATGTGTGAACCTCTTTCTTACACTTCCGAAGCTCCCCTCTTCTTTACAGCAGCAATGAATACTAATTTTTAGATTAAATCAAAATTGTCATTGAACTGTGTGAGATACTGGATTTTCGTAACAATAACAAGTGCAAATTACGAAGTGTTTGACAAAAGGATTTTCAATATATTTTTTAAAAAGCTACCTGCTATTTCAGTTTCTTTAATTATAAAATGGAGTATTTTTCATTATTAATTACGAAAAACTGTTAGAAACCATACAGAGATTCACATTCACGCTAATAACTAGAAATCTTACTCGGACAATTGGAAATAATTTGGATCGATGGTATTTCTTGTGTGCCTTAATGTCTTCTTGGCAAAGTTAAACTTTCGACACCAGTAACAACCAATCAACAAACGACCTTGAACCGAACAATCACATGAAAGAGGCGTTTATGATAAGCGGAAACGTATGTTTATAGAAAAATGCATAAAAAAGTGATAAAACGGTTACAATGGGTATCTTTTCCGAACATGGGAGAGAAAAATTTCCTAATTCAGCATGGGACTGTCAATAGAGAGGTCGCACCTCATTCTATACATTTATTAATCTAAATGACTATCAATGAGATCCTTTTGAGATCCATTTATAGCCCTTATCCTATTTTTCAATCGACCGCGAAATCCTTCAATGAAATTTGTAAGATTCCCTGTAACTGAATACACGAAATCACTGGAGTGGTTTACTCTGTGATGAATGTATCCCAGGGATGACAATGAATCATAGCCCTTCCACTCGTCGGTGTGTAAAATTGATCCCGGTTTCACAAGTCGCTTTATAATAGGTACCAGAGTAGTCGCCTTCCTGTCTGCTATTCTTTCAACAAATCCTTTTCGGAGGAACGTGTCGTATAAACCTATGACCCAAATGTTGTTCGCTCTTGTTGCGCGCGCGCTTCGAAAAAGAGAGTGGCATTTTTTACGTTGTGAAGTAACTTCTGCTTTTGTTGTGTAAATCGCATCAGAAGCCTTTTGGTTTACTTTAACTGGTTTAATTAGTTAAAGTAGTGTCTATTTTTGTGCACTTTTGTGACTTTTTGTGTCTTTATATCTCTGTATTTAGGCAAATATATATGTACATATTTGTGTGTAACTTAAGCAGCTTATACTGACATGATTCCCACACCTGACATGATTGCACCTTGGCGGCCTGCTTAAATCTTGGGCTACCAA